TATTTTTCATAATCACTCGTATACGGGGTGATTACTGGTCAGGATAGTAAGTTTACCCCTCTGTGAACATTTTTATTTTTTGGATACAACTATAATATAATGTAATATTAATATATTATAATAGAACAATGATATATATACAACACTAAATTAATAATGTCTTGAAACAGCTAACTTTGAATTAAAAGAAAATTATAGGTTATAAATTAAAATTGTGCCTTATGAGTTATGAGTAATCACTTATAACGGGTATTTCTAAATTAAACCATAAAATGAATGTCTATTTCAAATACTTAAAAATAGGTTATAATTATAAAATTACCCTACGATTAGGAAGCAGAAAAACGACGACGACGAGCGGCTTTTGTATATTAATTGATCTCTCGTATTTTATACATTTGCTCTCAGAAATAAAATAATATGTGTATACATAGGGGTAGCATATTTTTCATGAAATTAAATTTTTGTTTAAAAAATAAATTTAAGCACCAAAAAAGTATGAAACTAAAATTAATTACTTAAACATCAACGCTTTAGGGCTTCGGCAGAATTCCTGATATTGTTTGTGCACTGCGGAATAAATCAGTTTTTCGACTGAACTTAAGTCTAAAAATATTGAGATTTATTATGAAAAAAAAAAACCTTACAGATCGCTTCATGTTCCTTGTTCATCATGTCTGCAGCTTTGCTAACTGAAATTTTAGATCGATTGCGTCTTTGAAACTACTTTGACATTCGCCACGGATTGCATTATAATTTATACTACGTCAATTTGATTTAACCATAGATGTATAGTCTATTACAAAATTGTATATCAAGGAGGTCCGTGCTTGAGATTTAATCATTAAGATAATGAAATGAGGTATGACAATAACCAAAATAGTTTATAATTTTAAAATTTAAATTACAACAATGTATAAAGTACCTATTATTTTAATAATTAATTAAGGTGGTGTTTAAATATTCGAAGCACAAGCATATTTTTTTATGAGTTATTAAATAAAAATCTTGATTGATCTTGTTGTAAATAAATGTGATTACCTACTACTTTTTAGATTTAACATAAAGGTATTCAGTGATGCCCAATGCATCACATTTACCGTACATCGACTATACCAACTATAGTTTGTAAAATTCCAAGTTAAATCTTTTCTCTGAATACTGTCGAGCACGAAATAAATGATTAATTTTTTTTTGTATTAATTTTGAGTGCATTGTTTAGGTACATTTTAAGCTATTCGAGATTATTTAAAATTTAAAATTTCCTTATTTAATTTCCTATAGATATTCAATAATCAGCAGAGCGACTGAATTTTGCGGGACATAAGAACTCCCGTGTACTATACTATACTGTAGTATGACTAGTATGTACAACACTATTTATATCTATTTAATTTTTTTTGTGTTGCGCGCTCGGGAACAAAAAATATGCACCTACTTTACCCGGGTAACAAATTGCCTGTGACAGTAAATTTTAATTTTGAGACTAAAAAGTAAAATATGTAAGCCCCAAAAGAATAGGTAATCAAACTTACGTATACTCTTCGTATATCGACTGTTCGAGGAATATATAGCTGTAAGGACATATTATCTGGAGTGCAGACGCCATATCAAGGAACTTCTTTCTTCATCTAAACCCGAACTGAAAAAATCGAGATTTTTTATAAAAATTACTTGAGTATAATGAAATATGTGAGCAAATGTTTATTGTTGCCTTACACATTTCTCTTTTGTTCAATGAAATTATTAGAATTGTGAATCGTCTCAAAAGAGTGACGACGATCGGCTTTTGCCATAGATGATAGATATAATATAATATGTTGTTATCAGTTTACGAGTTTTTGAATTCTTTGGATGACACGATACATTTTTTATTTCAGATTCCGAAACATAATATTATTCGGAGTGTTTAAATCTAAACAATTCAGAACACGGACCTCTGCGTATAGGCTATTTAGATATACTATACTGTCGCGACTCGCGAGTCCATTTTTTTGTCCGGCATCTCACAATATTGTTTTTAGTCTTAACGGTTAAACTATAACTTAATATAAAACTCTAGAAGTGTCGAGACATGAAAAAAATTCAAAATTAGGCTTTGAAATTTACAGAAGTAATAAAAAAATGGATACTTTAATCGTTAATATAATATTCTCTCTGGGCTCGGCATTAATATGTTATCAAACAATATTATTCTATAATAGTATGCAGTATTTGCTAAAAAATTGTGTAATTATATTATTCTACTACACTATAGTGTAATAAATAATGTAATATATATACAGCCGTGTAGGTACCTAACTAAGGCTCTCACATAAAGATAAGTGACGGGGGAAAAAACCTTATGACCTGCAAGGTTCGGGACTTATAGCATTTGCATATACTTTTTTTATTTATTGTAAAATGTAGCAGAGTGCGAAATAAATTCATACCAAATCTAAAATTTGAATGTTCATATTTTGCATAGTTCATACATTTTGACGGAAATCGCTTATTTGTACGTTAGTGCAGCGGTTCCCAATCTTTTACGACCACGGCACCCTTAAAAAATTTTTGTGTTTCGCGGAACCCTAATGTCTAATCCAACTCAACTACAATTTTTGTAAATTAAAAAAGGAAAATCAATTCCTTAAACTCTCAAGTCCAAATAATATTTTAATGATACTGTTAATGACTTTTAATTAGTAAACTGAGTTTAAAAAAAAATTTTCAATCAAACATTTTTTAAACAACAAACATTAAATAAACATAATTTTCTCAATAATCTCATACATCTAACGGAACCCTTGACATTGTCCCACGGAACCCTAAGGTTCCGCGGAACACACTTTGGGAAACGCTGCGTTAGTGTGCTTAATTTGCATATTTTGCATATAAATTTTTTTAATATATATAATTTGCGTATATATTTTTAATTTATCTACAACTGATATACGTGAAAAACTATAGTTAACTATGTATCAACCTTCCATTTTTTTTTCATCGATGTAACTCAATTCATTTTTTCACATAAATATTTTAAATTTTGACGGTTTAAGAATCTGGAATTCGTCACTACAGTGTTTATTGTGTGTGTTCATGTTGTGTAATTGTTTCTTAATTATTTTTTGTTTCTTAAAATGTATTTACCTGTAGGCAACCATGTCCCACTCCCTAATTTTTTTGGTCCTTAATTTTAAGAAACAAAAAAATTTAAATTCTGATAAAATTGTGCAGTTTATATAGAATGATTGTATTAGGGGAATGTAAATTATGTAGGTATACTGAAATATTTAGTCAATAATTATAGGTACCCTGATGGACCTAGCCATACAAAGTAGGAATTCTTTATTATACGTCTAAACATTAATTGAGACTGATTGGGCTGATCTACTTCATTAAATTTAGTTCCCGAAATTTCATGAAATTTTAAACTTTAAATTTGGGATTATTAAGAAATAAAAGGAATCTTAAAATGTGGCTGGGTCGATCTCCGGTAGACGTTTTAACGAATTCAAATCAGTTTTCCGAAGTCTTATCGCATATTATCGGTATTTAGGTCCATCGGTAGTATTGACACATAATAGATTAAATTTTGTATTGACAAAAGACAGAGTACACAAGAACAAAATAACATAATATTCTTTATCGTTCACCAATGCAATGCACGACGCCGACGCGGTGACATGTGCGTGCGCGTGCGGAAGCGCTTCCCCGTGCATTTTACACTACGGTCACGCACACTTTAGTGATCATTTACTATGCACATATTTACAAGACCCGCATGCACTCACTCAAAAAAATTACATTAATTTAACGGACTCATTGAAAATCGACCGTTTGCAATCCACTCAACACAATTCAGTGACTGCTGAGACTTATTAGTTATTTTTGTTTCGGGCGACATTGCGAATCGAATGATTATTGAACAATTGAACGCCGTCGTTATTATTTATAAAATAAGTCTGTTTCAGAACATGAAATGGAAAAACCCAAGTTACACGACGACAGTAAAATATGATGATCAGTCATTAAAGATTAAACTCGTGACAAAATATATTATTAATTATATAATAAAAATAATAATAATAATAATGGCATATTGCGCAAATCAAAGCAATAATGTACAAATATTAACAGTAGAAACCGTTTATGACACCGGTCATAGTGACGTATCGGGTTTTATGACCTTAAAGTTAAGGACCCGAAAAATGCATAGGCAAGTTAATTTTGTCCAATTTTATCGGTGGTCATGACTATCGGTTATTAGGACCCATTTTCCTTGGTCCCTCGGACGTCATTATAAAAGATTTCTGCTGTATATTATATGTATGGTTGTTACCTAATATTTTGTCACGACTAAACTACACTGTTGACATGTAAGTAACTCGATAGTAGCAGCTGTCACAGCAGTATACGAATCGTAACTTCACTACCGTCTAAAAATGTCCATCACACTATCCGACAGGGTACTACTAGCCGGCAGCCGAGCTAGATATTTGACATTTACTATGACGCCATCACGGTTGTGCTACCACACCAGTACCCCAGTACAACAGTCATCGTGTAAACAGTGTAAAAGTATTTTCGAACTCGGATAATAATAATACAGAAACAGTTGTTTCACCTAATATTGTAATCATCTACAATAACATAAAATATTACATGGAAATTTACTGTGAATTTCAGTACAATAATAATAATTTATAAGTAAAAAATAATCTGATAGTCGATGACCGATCCGAAACTTGTCGAAGGTTAATTTCACTGAATATACGACATCGCGGACGATTATGGTCGGTATTCGGAGATAGCGCCGCAGTGGCGAGGTTACAGTGGTTATACACATTTACAAATACCTACAAAAAATATTTGAGCAGAAAATAAACCGGCTCCCGGCAACCGTTCGACAAATACGAGTACGAGACGCCCCGCAGCGGTGGAACGCGCACGCGCGCGGGGCCGATTGTCCGTTAATCGTCCAAAGCACGCGGGAAAGGAAGCCGCTTTTTTTCAACGAATGGACGGACGTCGGACAACAAACAAGCCAAACGGACAAACAAACCAGCATCTCATGGAACGTAAACACGACAGATTTAAAAAATAAGCCAATAGCGTGCGCCGGCGCAGCGTCATCATCATTGTTTACCACCGGGCCCGACCGTTTTCATGATAATCTGATCAGTTGAGAATTTAAGATTCCCTCGTTTTCGCGTTTGACGTGTTTTTAGCGTTTCGACTCGTCCGGGTGGTTTTGTGGCCGGTCGCTCAGTACCTACATCTTTAGCAAAACATTTTTCTTCTTTGGACGCACAGTTGCTCAGGTAAGACTCACGATTCCGTTGTTTCCAGCGCATAAATTCGTTTTCCGTCTTTTAGGTCGACGAATTTTATACGGGCACTACAGACGCAAACAGTAAACGCTTGTTTCGCTCGCTAAGCGTTTTGTGGTGGCAGGGGGGGATAAAATGATTTTTTTTGTCGTCGTTTTCCACCGTAACGATGCTTTCCCCGGTGTCGGACGTGTCGGTGGTCTCCCGGGGTCTGTTTATAGAGGGTTTCGTTATTTTTGATTTGGCAACAAGTCAACGTCGCCGCCGCCGCCGTTGTTGAAAATACCTACGCTGTGAATTTTTTTACACCCCCCCCCTCCCCTTCACAATTTGCATTTTGCACCACAGTAACCATGACTGTGTAGTAGTGTTGCACTGTAATATTGTGATTTACCATCGTACATGTTCTGATTTTTCTTAGTTTTGGGACACCACCTCAAATTTCTGTTGGGTATGTTATCAACTAGGTACCTAATAATATGTCTCTCGACAGTTAAGTCATTTGACAACCATGATAATCTGTCCAAAGTTTGTTATGTTTATATTTCTACAATCTTGCATTTCTTTACTGGTATTTTATGGAAATTGCATACCTTAATTTTTTAAGCCATGGGAAAATGTCTGTTCTGTAACATTAGGATAATGGTTGTATTGAATAGTACAACATAATATATGTAAATAAATCATTTGTATTTTATATTTTTAAGATTGCCATGTTAACTAGAAGATCAAGGAAAGAAGGGGTCGCTTCACCAAGCGATGCTGAAATACCCTCAAGACCTAAAAGATCAGCAACTCCATCTAAAACTCAAAAACCAGTCGCCCGTCGTCGTAGCAAAAGCAAATCTGTAGAGAGGAAAATAAGGACTCGATCCAGATCGGCTAATAAGACTGGAAGTCCTCGAGTGGTTCTAGAACGTTATGATCCTAAAAAAGAAAACCCGTCTAATAAAAAAAAAGAAATGAAAAGTAAAATTGCTGAGCATTGAATGATACTTTCTATTTACTTAAATAATTATATTTAATATTGATTTATAGATAATAAGGCTATTCAACCTGTTGATTCAAAATCAAGAAAGAGCCCAACACCTGTTAAAGAAGTTAACTCAAAAAGTAGTCCTGATACGTATAATGTAAACGACAAAGTATGTATTTTTTTTTTAAGTATATAAAATATTAAAAATAAAATGTTCTTAAACAGTTGCAGTAGAACAAAAAAAATTCCACAGTTATACATTAGTATACTGTGTGTATTACTTAATTATTAAATATAAAAAGCAGATTCTTAGGTTCTAAAAGTTTAAAATATTCACTTAATCCTTGAACTGGTAATATAAGCTTTGTTGAATTAAATTAAATTAAAAATCTTTAACAATACAAGCAGTTACAATACAAATATAATTTAATGTATAGTATACTGGGTGATTATTTTATCATTAAACACTCATTATTACAAAAAGTGTAAATGTTAAAAAAAAATTTACATGATTTCTGATTTCTAGTCATTAAAAACTGCATTTAAAAAATAAATACACTTTATGTCCTCAACATTTTTTTAGGTTTTTAATGAGAACAAAGTTTTTATTTCATATTCCATACAATATTTTTTTTTATGTATTTCAATCATAAATCAAATTTAGAACGATCAGTTTATGAGTTAAAAATATTTAAAGTTTAGATGAGTGGTGTAGTGGACCAATATTTTGCTAGGAAACCGCTTTGCTCATCTTAACTTAAAATATTTATAACTCATAAACTACTCGTCCTAAATTCAATTTGTATGTATCGAAAGAAGTATCCTGTTGAACTGCTTAAAATCCATAAATACTTATACAGAGCTGTGTATACTCCATTGTGTGTAGAAATACCATAATAATATGTTATTTATTTGTTGTTTGGTACTTCAACAAATCTGCTGGACTATGTAATTATTGCTAGAAAACACTGCTGGCAAAAAAAAATTCTCTTTAGCATTCCAACGCTTAATTTTTAAACATAAAATACATTTTTAAATTGTACCCCTCAATGTATGAAAATAACACTAACCCAAGATATAAATGTAATTTCTTAGACTTAAAATATATATTGAGTAAACATAACCATTTTATATAGTGAATATTAATTGTTATAATTTTAGATTTATCAGATATTTATAAAAAAAAAAATTGTTGATAGATATCCGCAACATCATCCAGATCAAGATTGGATTACAATGAAGAATCTGACGATGAACCGAAATTACTAAATACAACAATCAAAACTTATCCTGTAGAATTTGGAGGATCATTTGGCAATATCATGTTGACCATATTATTACCAATGTTGATTATCCTCGTCAAAATTGCTATAAAAACTGTAATTAAAATGTTTCAACTTAATAATTTTTCAATGATTATTTAATTATGTCGTTTTTTCAGAAAGGAAATTTAATACCTTTTCCTCGTGGTTATTTAAGGTTAGCAAACTATTATGATCAAGAAGTGTTTATATGGACTGCTGCTATTGTGTTTCTTCAATTGTTGATATCACTTGTACCTTTAGCAAAAAAATCTAAATCATTACTTAATGATGATTTTAAGGTCATCTACTACAGATTTTCTGGTTAGTTACTTCAGTATGATTTATTTGATTAATGTTAATGATAAATGGTTTTTGTTTCAGGATTTTTAAATTTAATTATAGCTGCTTTGATTATTTGGGCAATGGATTATTATAAGTGCCCGATAAATTTTATTTTAGAGATTGTGACTAAAAAGACTGTACCTCATATTGTAGCATCAGTTTTATACGCATTGATTTTTTCCATAATTTTGTTTGTAAAAGCCAAGTACTTAAATCAAACTGATGATTGTTCTTCTTTTAATTTTGTACAAAAATTGTTTATTGGAACAACAATTAATCCTACATTGGGGCCTATTAATATTAAATTGGCTTTGTGTAGATATTCTTCATTGATGACTGTAAGTTTCATTAATAAATAAAATATTTTTTTCTGTGCTTAATTCAGACAATTATTATTTTCTTGCAGATTTTATTCAATTACCTTGTGATCATGAACTCTCTTAAAAATCCAGTTAATATTCATCTTTATTTTGTTGCTGGACTGCAAATATTTCATGCTATGGATAAATTGATTTTTGAATTTAATTTATTGTCTTCATTTTATTTACAAAAAGAAAAAGATGGATATTGGACTATCATTCAACAATTTTTACAACCGATCATCAATTTCTTACCCATTCAAATTTTACTTGCGAACAATTTGTAAGTTGGATATAATATTTTACTTAAATTAATTTAATCACCATGTGTTTTGTTTGTGTTTAGGCCTGTAAATTATATCATTTTGAGTATTTCATCATTTTTCTTTTTATTGGGCTATATCTCTCAACGATACAGTGATTTTACTAAATATCAGTATGAAAGTAACTTGCCATTTGTCTATAGATCTTCGTGTAAGTTTTATATTTTATTTTTATAAATACCTGTTCATAATATTAATCAAGGTTTTATCGCCATTTTGTTTTTAGATGTGAGAACTATTGTACATGGTCTTTATTCATACGTGAGGTATCCTAATTACCTAGGGACCATAATTGTACATTTAGCCTTAATCTTGCCAATATTTGAACCTAATTTTGGCAGTTTACAAGCATCTTGGCCAGTACTTTTTTATCCTTTATATTACATAATTACTTTGTCCCATCAATGTGTGCGTATTTCTACCTACTACCGTTTACAGTATGGTAATGCGTGGGATCTCCATTATACAGCTAAATGGAATTTAATACCAAAAATATTTTGAATTAATTTTTTTCTTTAGATATAAGTCATATTTTGTCAAAATTTGTGTTAGATTTTAAGTTAAATTGATTTGTTTTTATTTGTATACTTGATTTATATACATGTCTTAGTAATTGAAGGAATCCTAATTTTGACTCCATTTTCTGACTTAAATTATTAAACTAATAGGAATAATATATATATTTATTATTTGTATTATGATTATTATTCCATGTTTTTAATAAATATAACTTTCAAAATAATGTAAGTTAAATAATTATGCCATATCGATATTGTATTAAAAAAAAAACAAAAAAAATGTTTAAACTATTTCATTCAAGTATGCATTAATATAATTAATTACAATTTTTAATAATTATTTTAGGTGATTAAGTAAGAAGTTAACTATTTAGTTGATTATACTGCTGAATGATGTACATAACAGAATGTTAATTTTGTACAAGAATTATAAAACTTGTTTAAAAATTTGAATTTGAATTTAATGACTTGAAACCTGTATAGTTAAGAGCCATACTGTGTTTTAGAAGTAATCAAAACCAAAAATTTACTTTTTTTATTAAGTTCTAATAGTTGTATTTATCTTATAATAGATAGTGGTTTATAACCAACTGTACATTATTTTCTATTACTGGTATTATGTTTAAGTATGTTGTATTGGTTTCAGATTAATTTAATACTACTTATTATATTTTAATAAAATCATTATTTTTATGTTAACAATAGAATTCAATTTTTTTTTATAGTAATTGTAAAATGTAATTAGTGTTACATTATTGTAAATATATATATTTTTATATTATAAAATTGGCTTAAATTGCCTCAATTATAAATATTTTGTAAATAAATAGATAATATCTACTTGTATCGCAACCACAGAATTAATGCAATTTAATCAAACAACTTAAAAATGACAATTACATTCTTGGTACTAATGTTTTGTTTTAATGATCTATGAGAAAAGTTTTATGTCATAACATTACATGCTTCAAAATGATCAGTTTTGGATACTAATTAATCTACTGTCTTTGTAGATAACCTTAATCAATATTTAGTACAATAGTTATACATTTATTTATTGTTTGTAATTATCTCTCCTAACAAAAATCTGGATATTTATAATTGTTACAAAATTGTGCTCTTTTTTTATTTAACAATTATATTTGAAATAAAATACTGAACTTAAATATTATTGTGTACTTCTTTGTTGTTTTATGTATTGGTTTTAACAAATAAGAAATTATTTTCACTGTAAATATGTTTATTTTTTAGGTTAACATCTGACAATAAAAGTTATTCAGTAAACTTAAAAAAACTACTTATGTAATTTTTCTTAAACCAGTCTTAAGTATTTCCACCTAGTAAATTGCAGATAATATAAAAAAAAAAATATTTACATATCAGCTGCATCAAATTGAGTGAGTTAATTATGTATGAAATGTACTTAAAGAATACATAAGCAAATGTTTATACAAATACTTAATGAATGAGCATTTTTATATTAATGTGTATTTTTTATTTAATTATTAACTATTCATATTATTTATCGAATTAACTACATTTTCAAGCACCTGTATTGATCAAATGCTTAATTATTGTGTTGATATTCAATTGTATAAGTTTTATTATGCAATTAATTATTGTCTAAAGACTATAACTACAAGACAGAATAATTTATATCTATATGATATTCTATTATTTAAGAATGAAATCACTTGAAGTTACATTAACTACCTATACATTTTTGTTCAATTTACAGTAAACATCTAAGAATCACACTAATTGCAATTTGAATAGCATGCGTAGGTATTTTATAATTATATACAGTAGCAACCGGACAGAACAGTACCTGTCATACCTAATATAAATAGGTAATTATTTTGTTTGGAAAAAAAGGTGCAATAATGAATGATCACAATTATCTACTATATTTTTATAAACTTTTTGATATTTTTTTATAACAATGTATGCAGTGCAGTTTGCAATATGTACATATAACGTAAAATATGCAGTTCAATAGCTTGCGTATTGTATATTGTTGCAATTTATTGACTGATGCAATTGTGTAGTTTAAAAAAAAAACTGAATTTATTGTTGCAAACGTTAATTATTTTTATTCAACAGAAAATATAAATGTATACACAACAATACAATATACCTACCTAAGTATAAGAAGAGGTAATGAGGCATTAAGTTATGTCATGTTATTATGACCTTTCAGCTTATTGTATAAAATCAAGAGACAAATATAGATTAAACATAAGGATATTACTATTAGTATAATACATACCTACCTATTGCAGTGGATTGTGGTAGGTACATATAAATCTAGCGTTTCAAATATGAATTATATTAACATGTCATATTGTCATATGATTATTATAATTTAAAACACAAAACACAGGTCGATCGAAAAGTTACCTACGCAACCCAAAGTGCAATAAATCTGCATTAAATGATGTACAATAGGTATAGTACCTATGTGCAATATGCACAGTTCAAAAACTACCGGAGACTAATAATTTATGAGTAAAAAATATATCTCAAATCTCAATAAATTTTCAATCAACGATATCCATTTATATCAATTAAAGGGCCGAGCAGAAAAAAGGTAGGTATTATAATGTGAAAGATGTTTAAAAAATCGTTTTTATTAGGTATGTTATAATGTTATATCCATCGGTATAGCATCATTATTGCAAAAATATTAAGTACTTAACACATCCGTTATCTTAAAGTCACTCACATGCACACACAAACAGCATATATCTAGTATATAGCCAATAGCCATATAGGTACAGTCCTAGGTAACGTTTCAAAATTGTGAAAAGATAGTAAAATGTCACTTATCGACATCAACATATTTATCTGCTCAATAAAACACTTGACCCTTCAATTAGGTATTAATCAGTTACCTGTAGAATGGAGGTTTTAGGCCTGAACCAGTCGGAGGCGGTGTGTTTTTTTAATACAAAACATGTAACACTAACAGAAAAAAGTAGGTACCTAGTCGGATTTCTTTAATTCTCTTTTCATTTTCAAAAAAAAGATCATTTTGCAGGTCGAATCAAAGATCGATTTTCAAAATTATAATTTTAAAAGCTAAAATATGCATTTGAACAATGCACAGTATTTTTGACTTTTCTAGCACTATTTTAAGTAAAAAGAAAATTCGGGCTTTGATGGTTTCGTCTGACGTGAAAAAAGTTCTCATATTTATAATAGAAAAACAAATAACGAAATTCGACATATCAATGAAGTAAAAAATATAATTTTAAAATTATATTGAATTGAAGAAAATTGGTAAGACTAGCACCTACACCCTTGTTATATCTTAATTCGTGGTCTGAACAATAACAATGCCAATATTATTATAGGTAACGCCATTCCTTGCCGACTTTTCGACCGCCCGGTCGACGTCAAACATAATTAGATACTATACAATATAAATAACTTTTAAAAAAATCGATAATAAAATCGTAATTATTATTTAGATAGTGTTGTTTATACACGCGGAGTTCAGCAGGTGGGTTTACACCATAATATGACACTAAGACATCTCAGTTCACGATGGTTTACGCTCGTCGCGGTTACCCCGGGATCGCGGTCGTCGTCGAATTGATGCCGCGAGCGGCCGACAGCAGCAACGTGCCGAGACTCGAGACCGTCGATTGCAGTGGCGGCGACCCTGTGTCGTTGACCGGGTCCAATACGACTTGCAAGACACTGTTGTTGAACTGGACTACGGGGTCCACCACCATTGCGGCTCCGGCGGCCAAAATCTTGTGGTAATCGCCGCCGGCCCAGCTGACCGAGAAGCCCATCTCGTAGTGAATGATCCTGTCTAGCACGTAAGCGAACACGCTACCCGCCGTCGTACCGGCTATGTACGATATCGTCATTATGTTACCTGTGCGACAACAGATTAATACTCGTAGGTAGGTATATAATATTATGTACCGAACGGAATAATATTTTAATGGTGTTGTTGCTCGTTAGTTCCTATGTATCAGTGGCGCCCAGACAGGTTAGCAAATACTGCGACTGCAATATTGCATGTGTCAAAGTTATAAATGTATAACACAAACTGTATGCTTTTAATAATCAATTTTCTTGAACTACAGTGATTAATAAGTGAGTATGATTGAGTAAACTGAGTACAGTAAATTGCGGAGTGCAGCAAGAATATAAAAAACAAAACAAATGGGTTGTGGGCGGGTACCTAATTTTTATTAACTGCATATGTTCACATAATACCTCTGTGCGCCAGTGTAGCTTATATTATATAGGTAGGTATGTTTAATATATATTTGTTTATGTACTTATAAGGCATAACTTATTTGTGAGTCTGTAATAGCTGCTACTTGTTAGACGCTTACCTATACAGTAGCCAGTAGGTTTATGGCTCGTAGTTAGTAGATTAGTTTACCTACGAGCTTCGGTGGACCAATTAATTTAGTGCCATACTCACTAACCTATATACGGACTCTACCATTATAGGTTTTTACATATTCTTTGATTGTATGTGCATTCATCCGAATTCTTATTTTTTAGTACCTATAGCTATGTCTACTATTAAGTTTAGAAACAAGTTGATATTTCATATTTACCTGCTAGTTCGCGTCGTTCTTCGACGACTTTTGCCGGAGCGAAGATCATCGGGACGCTGCCAGTGATGCCATTGGTTACGCCGAGCACTGCCGTTTGCAAGACTATCATGAATTCACTGATGATTTTCGTGTGAAATGGATGTTGAACAAATACGATTAACAGAATGGCGGGAATCATGAACAGACGTTTTTTGGTGCTCTTCAGTATTTTGTCATCCCATCGTTCGTATGAATAAGCTCCCAATAACTATATTCATATAATTAAAATATATTATAGGATTTAAATTTTTTTAATGTAGGCTATACCTATAGACACATTGTTACATAATTAAACTACAGAAGTGTAACTATTGGTACACTAGGTGTCTAGGTATATAAGTACTATTAAACAGTCAAAACATATAGGTTCTATTCTGGAGGTAAATTTCTAACTCTTATAAATTATAACTTCTAAGATTTGAAATGTGGTTTTTTAAAACTCGATCCTAGGCGGAAATTTATCAACATTTTAGGGGTGCTAACATTTTTGATATCAATGTAAGCCACAGCTTCGCCCCCACTCGGCTAAAGATATATCTGGTTTTTTGGGTGGAGTTATTGGAATATTTTAGTGGGCTATGCC